TCTTAGTGCACCTGGGAAGCCCAACTGACGACAGATAACAGTAGCATCTTGGATGTCAAACAAGTCATCACAGACAGTCCCCCAGTCACCTTGATAATAGACTTCAACACGTCCCTCAGAAGATGAACCACCATCTATCAATCGAACACTCCCATCTGGAGAGATACAAAACATGCTTCGTCAACGCTTTCATAGTGTCTAGCCAGCATTGCATAATGTCTGTTGATGTGACAGGTGCAACTAGTGAATTGTACACAGAACACAACTGAAAAGAGAATGATGCAATTTGCTGCAACTGTTTCGAAAGATATATTAAAAGGGAACCTTGTTCTGCAAAACAAACCTGTTTACATCAGGTGATGAGATCACTCTGAAATAAAGATGAGCAAATTGGACAGATTTCCCATAGAGCTTAGATATTAACAGGTCCTCAAAGGGTAAGAGTCTTGTACCACTGGGATAGGTGCGAAAAAACCTTTTGTGCATTAAATAGCCAAAAACAGCCTCTGAGACACTATGGCCGAGTTCGGGCGGCTTGTTCCCGTATGTTGACAAACAGCTCGATTTGTTGTTCGTGGGTCAGCCACTCGAATGCCAGGAACAAACAACCAGTTATCGCTGACAAGTGACAGGCAACATGCAACATGGCGGCGTCCGTGCAGGCTACGTACGTTATTCGAGAGTTAATGTCTGCATGGGCTGAATTCTTTTCTATATAAACAGGAACATTCATTTCTGTGTTACGGAAAATAATTAATGTTAATTTTGCAAAACTTCCCATTGTCCCTGGCTTTGGAAGCCATCTCTCTACTTTTTGCAGCTGTTCAAAAATTAAAATCTCACAAGTTTTTCCGTGTGTTCCTGTAAAACCCTGATAAGGAGGTGGTGTGTGATCCTGCTCTGAGAACAGTGTTCTTGAGTCGTGTTCCTGCCGTTCGAGCGCAAGAACAAGAAACCCGAGTCAAGAACAGGCCACCCGAACTTGATTTATGGAAATGCCAGCAACACATCACCTTCAGTTCTGGTACAAACACCAGGAGATACAGGAGTAAACACAGCATGCTCAAAATGCTATGTTGCTGCCCACTCCATTAATTTCCCATCCTTCAAGTTTAACTGGGAACGATGAGAATGATCCCAGAACCAAAGACTTGCAATTGGTGTCCTACAGATTTCATGCGATAGCACATTCACAGTCAACATGTCAAATTGGACCGGGACAAAGTTATTGATACGATGACTGATGAGGGAAGATTTCAAACCTTTCCTTTGGTCTTAACCACCAGACCACCCAGCCAAGACTGCTTGGGTCAGCACTCTGAATGTGTGCACTAGGAAGCAGGAGGTCATGGGTTTGAGTCCTTCCTGAGAATGCTTGTGAAATTTTTGCAAGCCCTTGGTCAAACAAGTATAAAGCAGTCACCACATACATCGATGTAAGGGGAAAAAAACCCAAACCAACTGCCCATAGCTCATCAAACTCCAACAGCAGGTTTTGCTAGGTTTTGGCTGATTTGGTACCATACCATAAGCACATGGTGTTGGACTATGCTAGATTTGGTACAGTAGGCCCAGGGTGATGGTGTTTAATTTTGGCTGAGCTGGTACTGTCAGGTTAGCATCTTGGTTACAACAGTGGGTGTTGGACTCTGCTGGGTGAACAGACACCGGTGGCTCTGGCTGGCTGGCCAGTAGAGCTCACTGGGTAAACACCCAGTGAGCTCTACTGACCAGTGTTGGACCGTGTGTGTGTACATGGATGGTTATATTGCACTGGGTGTATCAGCTCGCCTGTGTGTGTTGCTGGTCAGCATGGTCAAGGACACCATACATGTATTTTGCATACGAAGGCAAGACTGGTACATTTACTTACAGGAAGGTATTGGAATTTTTATAAAATGTAACAAATTCCATACATATTTATTGGTATTGTACATAGATGCATAATGTGTTCTACAAAGGTAAGCATTATATAATATCCATACCAAGGTATGCATAATTATGTATTTTTTGTAATAAAATACCAACATTTCCTATAAATATCAGTGCAACACAGCAAATGCCTGTGAACTCCCCCAAACTCTGATTTTCTATTGTAAGTACAAAATGATTCATTTTGTTAGGTTTGGTACCATCTTTTTCTAATCACTAGCCAATGCATGGACCCATATGTACCAAACTGGCCAAACTCTAACTTTTGGAGTTTGCCAGGTTTAGTACTGTATGGCGTATGAGACCTGTTGGAGTTTGGCAGGTTTGGTACCAGCAACTACTCAAATTGTGCACGGTTGTTGGAGTTTGTTAGATTCAGTACTGTTTCTAGTGCAAGGGCCTAGGGAGTAAGGGGTAAAAAAATCCTAGTTTGTTGATGTGAGAGGTGCAAGATTCTGCACTGAGTGGTGCACTTGCTCATGACACAATATGTACCCAGTATCACAGTAAATAGTTTGCAATAAGATTCGTGATATTGTGTGGAAAACCCTTTTAATGAGACACATTCGTTTTGTTTCATTTCTCAGCTACTGCAAATGAGTAGGCCTACTTGTACATGTAGTACTTTCCTTGTACTGAAATCACACTCTATTTCAACCGTAGATGTGTGTGCAGTCACGGGTGTTGGGGGAGGGGTTGAATCACCAAACTCCCCCCCCCCAAAAAAAAGATAAAAAATACCTGTAATAATGGGAAGAACCCAAAAGAGAAAAATGAATCAGAAATTGACAACATGAAAGGAAAAGAAAATCAACAATTTGTTCATTGATGGTTGTGCATTATCGACCGTGTTTACCTCGTGATCAGCAGAAAAATATTCCTTGAACAGTCTTAATGAACGTTTTATTGGAAGATTTACTGTCAACCCAAATAGAGCTGCCCAAATGTGGAACTGACTGTCGGTACAAAATTGGACCCTGCAGAATTATTTAAACAAGCTTTCTGATTAATTTCTTTGACATCTTGATGAATAACACCATATTTGCTTAAAGTGACTGTGATTTTTTCATGGTCTTCCTGGTTGGCTGCTCTTTTGTTTGAGAATTTTGTCCCACAAACAAGCGTAATGTATTTGCCCCATCCTTTTAGGCATAGAGCTGCACAGTTTTGTATCACAATGCCATATTGCGGCGCTTCAAATATCTTGACTAACCTAACAATGCGCTGATGAATAGCTACACCCTTAATGATGCGCAGGGTGAAAAACTGAAAGAGAAACCTTGCTGCCAATATTTATTATTATAATTATAATCACCTGTAATTCCTGGACTAGGAGATGAAATTGCAGAGCAGACCACTCCAGCATCTTCTGAATGACCGCAGTTATTGACAGTCCATCCTGCATGGGTACAATCTGCCAGTGTACTTTCACGTCCTGTGCATTCCAGATTATCAAGTAAAATGGGCCCGACACCAACAGAGAATTCAGCAGCAGCTGACACAGCTCTTACTGCACCTGGGAAGCCCAACTGACGACAGATGACAGTAGCATCTTGGATATCAAACAAGTCATCACAGACAGTCCCCCAGGCACCTTGATAGGAGACCTCAACACGCCCCTCAGAAGAAGAACTTCCATCCACCAACCGAACGCTGCCATCTGGAAAGACACAGGACATACATGTACAGTGTATATGTACGTTGTGAGAGGTTCAAGACTCAGCATTGTGTAAGGTGTATAATGAAATCGCTTGCTCATTATTCAAGACCTATTACAATAAATGGTTTCCAATATTATCCACTTCGGGCCGGGGCATTTTTCAACGTTGAGGATGCTGGGCCGGCATGACTATCATTTTTTCCGTTTTCAAAATCCTTCAACAATTCATCATTCCATTTAACAGTCGTTTATAGCCACATGGAGTAATCTTCAAGCACTACTCTAAGTTGACAGGTGATTGACGCCCGAATAT